AATAGGAAAAAATATATATATATATATCTACTCAACTTATAACACTCTTAGTAATGTTCTCAAACTGGTTACCCGGGCATTTCAGTATGCTTGTGTTTGTTAGAACCACAGACTTTGTTTGACACACTTTAGTTAGAAACAAGACAAACGTCAGAACACTTCATCCGCTTCACTTTATCTCTGTTGCAGTTCTGTTTAATTCAAGTGGAGTCATTTAGTGAAGACAACAACTTGTTAACTCAGCTCACCAATTAGGCCTGAGTACTTCTGAAACCCTAACGCCTGGTTTATACTGGAGGGGAGAATGTAAGGCCCGAGGGTTTGCGGCTCACAGAGGTGGTCACTGTCTGTGTGTTTCGACAAACTCCAACTGTCATCACATTGTCATCCAACTAGGTTGTGCAAACGGTGTAGGAATCTTTGCACAATGTACACGTCCAAGGAGAACGTCCAGACAATCACGTATTTCTAAAGTGAGGTTGTTTAGTAAGAGTGATACAGTACAAAGAATGTAAACCTTTTCACATTGGCAGCTTCATTCACATCTGGCTTCAACCCGTATTTAGATCAGCCCTCTTGACGTAATCCCTTGAACTGATATGACATCTCTTTGGTAGTGAAGTAATTTTGCATATTTTCTTCCCATTTATTTACATAAAGATGGAATTTTACATCAACCGAAGTAAACACAGAGCATGTAGTGTGACCAGACTTCAATGCATCTTACCCTCCAAATAAGTTTGTGTTTTTCCCCTGTTGTTCAGTTGTTAGCAGCCGTAGGAGCGTCTTCTCCCCCCCCACCAGAGACTCCTCTGTGCCTGCTCGTGAGCCTCCTTCATCATGGTGGTCTCGCGACAGTATAGACGAGGCTTCAGGGTCACAGCATGTGCCGTTAACTATGACTTGTGTGTTGAACGCACTCCCATTTACCACACCGTCAGAACGAAGTTTCCCCATGTCCTGCGTCATCTAAGCAGTACAGCTGTGTCAGTGGCACTGCTCGTATCTATACAACATATATATATATATACAAAATACTCAACTGAAGGTACTCCATTGCAGCCTTTTTTTTGTATATCACCATGGATTTTACATGAGTTATACCGTATTCTTGTTTCTTTGTTTCGTTTCTCCAGCTTTACAGACTCAGATGTAAAAAGAACAAATAATAATAAAAAAAAAAACACTACGTGCTCGACGTGCTGATGCTGAGCTGGGTCTCTCCAGTGGCCCGTGAGTAAGCCTGTAAATCCTGTACACCGTCTCAACGCGTGCATTGTTGTCTTAATGCGTGCATTGTCAAGTAAATGAAGTCAAACTTCAGCCTTTTTTTTATTTCTTTAACATTTTATATCAATTAGTCATTTATATTAATTAAATAGTTAAAAAAAAAAAGGTTTTTCATCTGTCTCCTTTGTTTCACCGGTCCAGAGTTTCTTCACAGAATTTTACTGAACGTTTTTGAAAGAGTATAACTGGTGCCCACTTTTGTCTTTGGTTTGAATGAAACGTTTTCTCTGAGATTATGTGTTTCTCAGATATTTCATGTCCTGTCATTTCTTTCTTTCTGAAACATTTTTGTTCAGACCATTCAGACCACCTAATAAGGCTAAAGCCAACAGATGATTTTTTTTTCTGAATGCCTGACACTTGAAAGAAGACTTTAGTTTATAAGTTTATAAAAATCTACTGTCTCATATCTGCTGCTAACACAACAATTTCCCAAATATGGGATCAATATAGTACAAATTTATTCTTTTTTATTTTTTTCAGGATCAACCATAAACTGATGCCTGTTTCATGACTCATTCAGTCACTGCTGCATGTTTGACGAGCTTCCAAAACCTCTCCTAAACACAGTGTAGTGAATGGTCTGGACCATGTCAACTGGAGAGGATGGTTGTGGCTAAAAGTTAAATTCCAAAACTGCATTTGTTTTGCTTCTAAACTGTCATGAACCAGACGTATGAGAGCGAACTGCTCTATGTCTAAATGTCTCTTCTACAGCTTTGTCTTTTTTCAGGGTCATGGCAGGAGCTGGAACCAATGACAAACTTAAGGCTTGTGGGCTATGATTTGGCCCACCGAGGCCTGCCACGGCTTAGGATGCCCATGGTTGAAAAAAATCCATAGTTTTGTACTTTGTTATTTTGAGTCATAGACAGTTCCTACTTCGTATGTGTAACAATATTCATATTTTTGCTTGATGATAATATTTTTGATTTAATCCTGTCAAGCCCACATCCTGACTGTTGTTCCCTAAGTGATGGAGTTTGATCCCCCTGATTTTGAATATCCATTTTTATCCTGAAGCAGAAATGCATGGAGAAAACCTACATGAGTACTACGTGAACTGCATGTAAGACGGTGGATCCAGCCGTTGAACCAGTGACAGGAGCACCAACCACTGTATGGCTCTGACAGATCTTGTCTCCTTGACTCCGTACAGGTACAATCATGTTCTTCTTACAGTTCTTTTCACTAATTTGTTGAATGTTCTGCACAACGCTGTGTTTCTATCCTTTGCTGATCCCTGACATCTGTATTATAAATGCAATATGCAATAGTTATTGACCAAAAGGTCAAAACACAGACACTTCATTCAGGCCGTAAAATGAAAACTGCTCATACAGCAGATCATTTGGCAGTTTTTATTGAGAAATTAGGTTCCTGACAGTTTAAAATGGAGTGATTAATAGATTATGGAGACCCACACATACACTCACACACACACACACACACACACACACACACACTCCTGACGGAGCTTGGGTACTTCACATTCATGTATTAACAGCTGTCAGACTATGCAGATATTCATAGTCATCTGATCCAGCCTGCACACACAGGCTGATCCATTACGTTTTAATGCTAATCAGAACCTGCGTCTGTCTTTTTGGACTGAACTTACCTCACACTGGAAAGGAAATTCCTAAGCAGGAGCACTTTTCTGCTATCATGGAAAATTCCTAATTTAGTCACATTCAACTAACACATTTGTCTTGCTATATTTGGGGCAGTCCTTGGCTAATTGAGTAGCGTTAAATTAGCTGCAGCAATTTCTTTGGACTATGTCTTAATTTTTTGAGTTGGGCAGCTAAATATTACCAATTTTATATTTTGTTGACATATACGATAGAGCTAAGTCTTGTGTTAAATACAAATTCATGGTTTTATTTTATTTAATTTTTTTGCACTTTGGCCAATTCTTCATTACCTGTTGTGTTTCAGCTTTTTTTTAGGATATTGTGCAACTTTTCAAAAAGCTATTTAATCTCTCCTGGACTATCTTTTAGCTAGCTTCAAGCTACTGTGCTTTTTTAAAAAAAGAATAATTTAAACAGCACAGAGATTCCTTTTTTTGTACTTAAACTTAAGTTAATATATTACATAGTTGTTTTGACTTTACTTAAACTGTACAAATTGCAGACAACAATGTCCACAACAACAAACTTTACTATTAAGTATAGTAATGGAAGCCCCGCCCCCTCCTGGCCACCCGACCAAACATTTCCTAGATTCGCCCGTGGCTGTAGATGAATGGTTGTGCATCAGCAGCATTAGCAGCAGCATTAGCAGCAGCATCGTCAGTAGTGTCTGTCTCTCATTCACTCCTCTTTCCTCGGAGCTCTGCTCCTCTAACTACAGACTTAATCCTCTTAGTTCTCCTCAGCAGGGCGGAGCTACAGCCACTCTCACCGTATTTACACTTTCCTCTCCGCACAGTCAGTGTGAGAAGCTCCGGTGGCCACAAGCACAAACGCACTTCGCCGCAATGTCCACTTGTGTGTCGGGAGGAGAGTAGCTGCTGGGGAAAAGGAGGAGGCAGAGAGGGAGAAGACGGAGGAGGAGAAGGAGCAGATGCGGTTCCGGTCATGACTTGTACCGGGAAACAAAACTTCCTGGCGGCGTTGGTCTTGCTCTCGGTTGTCCGGCTGACTACAGGTAACCTCGGTTCACTCTTGACAAACTTTTTATTCAGGAAACTACACCTGGATTATAGTTATTATCATTAATTTTTAAAACATCATTACGACTCGATATACAATATTTAGATTTGGCTAACTTACATTTACCTGCAGCCTAAAAGCAAAATAATAATAATAATAATACATGAAAAATAATAACGTATTGTACCCATTTGGGCATAAAATGACTAAACGAGATGAAAAAAACAACTTTGTGTAACTGTTAAAGGCAACGATTAAAAGTTAGGCAGAAATAAACACCAGATACAAGCAAAGATACCAGATACAGAAAGCAAAGGAGTATCAAAATATAAAAAATTAAAAAAAAATAAAAGTCAAAAACGAACTTTTTAACCCAAAATATATATACATAATATATATTTTATATACTATATAGCTTGATTTGATGCTATATACGTTTGTTAATAGTTAAAACATTTACTCTGTATATCAAGTGCAGTAGTTGACTGATACAGTAGGCGTTATGTTTTGGTGGCATTGATGTACAGTCAGGCATTTTGTCACATGTGACATTTAAGTCAATAAATGTCATATTTAAAACACTGGCAATAGGTAAGAGTCGTCAAGGTGTGTGAGGCAATGGTTTAAAAAAAGTGGTTTAAAGTGCACTTTTGTTATAGACATATTGAGAAGTGATAATAACAGCAGCCAACTTATTTAAACAAAGACTTAAAAATTTAGATTTAAAAAAAAATCTATTTTACTATGTTTTGCACCGCAGTGTGTTTACTGTGTAATACATTTCTTTTAATAATAATTAATTTCCCCCAGGTTTTACATACTGTAGCTCAAATAATTATTTGAACATCTGATTTATTGGATTTGGATTGTTAAGCCTCACACAGTCAGAGCTCGTGCTTTTAAAACTCTTCTTAACTTCATCTAAAACATTGTTATTCCTCCAAAACTGATATTAAACAAAGGAAATACATTTTAAAAAACTATCAAAATAAGGAAAATATTGAAAATGGGATTAATTTGCTTTCCTCTGTCTCTTCTTCTCCTCGTGCGCTACTTTTGTACTTTTGCATCACACTTTTGACTATTTTCAGCTTGTATATAAAACTCTCTGGCAATAAATATACGCTTTATTTAATGTAGTTTTATTAAACCATTCAATCAGACTTTCCTCAGTTTTCTGCTCCTTTAGCTTGGTTAACTTCTTCCTGCCAAAACCTTAACATTTTAGATATTAACGTGTGTAACTGGCTGCATTATAAGAGTTCAATTTTTTTTTTTAGTTTTAGGAGATGGTATTTACATATATATATATTTGACCAGTTTTTACATTTTTTTAGAAGACATTACCATCAGATTCAGTATTTCTGGTAATCTCTGTCCATGACGCAGGAAAACTGCTTCATAACCCAAAACCTTCAAGGACACAGTAACAAAAGCAGTGACTTCTTAAAAAAAAAAATCAAACCAAAACCACATTTTATTTTATTTTTGGGCAGGTTAAAAAAACTCTTTTGTGGGTTTGAAAGTGTTGTAATTTAATAAATCGCAGTCAAAGTCAAAAAGTTCAAAGACAAATATAACTTTCAAAATTTTGCTCAAATTGTTTGACTTTTTTTGTAACCATGTTTGTGGCTACAATTTTGGACATACGTTTATTTACCTTCCAAGTACTTTTCAGATATTCATATGTAAAACAACAACAACAGTAGATATTCATATGTAAAACAACAACAACAGTTGTTGTTGTTGTTGTTGTTGCATTTCCAAATGCATTTTCAGAAAAAGCAAAATATTTTTTTTAAAAATTAAAGTATAACTCAGTGAATAAAAGTAATATCTGAAATCACATCTTGGCCAAATTGATATAAAACAAACAAAAACAAAAACACAGACTCACTCACTGTTCCCTCACACACACAAATATCAAACTTTTTTAAATTTCCGTCTTCCTTGCTTAACTTGTTGCCCAGCAACTCCCAGGTATGTGATAAAGAAATATTTTGTCACATTACATTTAAGATTTTTGTTAACCAAAGCACTGATTTTTGTTAGATGCTCCGTTATTGTTTCAACAGGTCTGTAGTTCACAGGTTCCTAACTGTTCATTGGTCAAAGCAGGACAAAGATTCTAACATCTGCTGAACTTTATGTTGAGCACATTCTTTTCTTACAGCAAAATTGGTCACCGTGGTGATAAATGAACTTTTACAGTTCAGCGGTTATGAAGACACTGTAACACTGTGTCTTTTCTTTTTTCGATTTGCTTATAATATCCTTACAAGTGCCTGTAACATTTCCAGTTTTCAAAACACAGCAGCCAGTGTTCACCTGTTCTCTTTAGTCTGTTTCAATTTTTAGGCTGCATGGAGGATCAGTGGTTGGCACTCTTGCCTTACAAAGCAAAATAGGTTGATAGTTTAATCCCCATGGATCATTAGTAATTGTTTAAATATAGGAAATTGGAAATTTACCACAGATGTTAATGGCTGTTAATTTCTTTATATGTGGCCCTGTGACAGACTGGGCCGTGTTGTACTACGCCCTCACCTGTTAACTGCTGGATTGACTCCTGCCCCCTGCGAGTTTGAAATAATTTAAGAGAATTGAACTTGATTAAATAACAACGTTGAGCTATTTGTTGTTCTAAGTTAAGTTTTATCCAAAATGTAAAATGTAAAAAATGCAATAGGTTTGAGCCCCTTAATTTGGGAACCATGACACTAAAAAACCAAGACCACAAATATTATATATGTTATTATGAATTAAATATTTATTTATTTATTATTATTATTATTTCATATCATTATTTATTTTTAAAAAGTATTATTATTACACTGTTAAGTGCTGCTAAGAGCAGATAGTTATACAAAGAGTGATCAAACAAATCCCGACAGTAGTCTGAGGTAGAACACCAGATTACCAGGGTGTTAAAGTAAGAGGTATTACAGAACAACTGTTCCTCCACCTTCGACCATTTAAGAGCATGGACTTTGTTGCATAACAGGAGCGTCCTGCCTGTGAAGAGTTAAGGACCAATGTCTTGTCTTCTGTTTTGATATTCCTTAAATGAACGACTAAATCCAAAATGTTCTTCCTCATAATTCATTGATACGGTGCTGTTTCAGGTCTCAGGTGCGTGTGCCAGCTCTGCACCGACCACGTATGTGAAACCGGCTCGGACGGGGCCTGCTGGAACTCCGTGATGTTGATCGATGGGAAGGAGGAGACGGTGAAGTCCTGCCTGACGCCCTCGGAGATGAAGGGCCAAGTGTTCTGTTACAGCTCCCGCAATGTCTCCAAGAGGAACTGCTGCTTCACCGACTTCTGCAACAACGAGACACTGCACCTGCACTCAGGTACGTCAGCACCCATCACTGTTTTATTACTGTTAGAACACTAGGTGTAGTTCAGAGGACGACAGAAATGTGGAGCGTTTGTTTTTGTTTTGACAGCAGCACCAACACAAACACTGTGGGGGATTTTACCTCTCCTGGCTAGACAGAGTGGAGGCTGATCCTGCTAGATCCTGTGACATAACAACTCTGGCAAAGGCTGCGATCCTCACCCTCCCTCACCTGATTTATAAATAAATTTGTCATTAGGCTCATTGCCCTGCTGTGAGGTAAAAGGCTGTCCTGGGTCTGTTGGGTGAAGGTTCCATCTGTGGAGTACAACTTTTGGCCCCTTCCTGTTTCAGGGACATTTTATAGACTGAAACCTAGTATTCTTTTTTTTATTTTATTTTGTTAGCTGGCTTTTTTCTTCTCTTATATTCCTGCACCATTCTGAAGAAATATTAACTATTTTAGTTAATTTTCAGATTTTATATTTGTGGTATATGTTTTTGCTATCATTTTTTTTGCAGTACTTTGGGTGCTGATTGATATGTCGGTGTAGAGCAGTACTTTGGGTGCTGATTGGTATGTCGGTGTAGAGGACAAACTATATATATATATAAATATTATTATTATTAATTTTTATAACAGAGCCCTCTGTATGGAAGCCTGGGTTGGGATGCAATCTCAGAAAGGTCTTAAATGTGTTAACAGGCCCCAGTGAGAATTGAACTCACGACCCCTGGTTTACAAGACCAGTGCTCTGACCACTGAGCTATGGAGCCATTCTGTAACTGTGGCCATTCATTTAATCATTGGATGTTTTATCTACTAGAAAAAAGACCTGTTTTTATGGACTGCCATTGGCCATTATTATGAAATTAGCCAAAACACCTGGTGATGATATGAATCCTGTCATATTTTATTGCACGTACACACACTGATGATTTCCTCTACTCGTGTACGTGTCTAATGTGATCTGAGTTGGAAGAGGTCACTCTCATAAGATGTGGAGGCTGACTTCAGGAGATTTAAAAAGTGAGAGGCGCTGCAGACTGTTGATGAGAGCAGTTGGGCCAACAGCCTGAGGCCATGATGGTGCCGACTGTGAATGAGAACAGAACACTTCGACAAGTCTGTTTCACAGCACACAACACGCTGCTGTGGTGTGGTGTTTATATCTCTTACAGTGAAATGTAATGATCTTTAATACTGGGACCAGACATCGTTTTTGTTTCCGTCTTGTGCTGTGTTGGTTATATTTATTTTACTATAATGCAATGATAGGATTTAAAAAAAAGAAAAAAGAAAAGCCAAATGCTGCATTGAGCAATTTTCAGTATACACTCAGCGACCTTTCCCTTTTGTCCCATGCAGAGTCAAACATTTCCAGTCTCTAGGTCTTTTGCCACCAGGCCAGAATAGAGCCTTGTTTTGCATCACGTCTCTGTGTCCCAGTTGGACACATGGCAGGATATGAATGTAGGTAAAAGGCTACAAATGTCTTAGGAAACTGTGGTTTGGTTCAGGTTGTGTTGCGTTACACATCTGCAGATGGCGTACACTGCTCTCCTGGTGAGGACATTTCAGGCTCTGGGGATTTGGGAGGACGAAATTGAAGAAAGAGACGTGAATGTGGTTGGCATGATTTTTTTTTTGGTCCTAGCAACAGTGCCCTCTGTAGACAGAAATAATAATGACTGACTGAGAGCCTGACTGAAACCTAAAGTTTGACCTGCTTGATCAGACCAAGCGCTGAGTCTGTCGTCTTGTTCATTCAACTGAAACTGAGCAGAGTTGAGAAAGTTCTTTATCCTAACAAAGTTCAGGAGACAGAAATGTTTGCACAGAGCTGAACACACAAAATTAAATCCTGAGTTCTTCATATTTTCTTTAAAGTTCCTACATTAAAATATGATAAATATGATATAGAATATTACTTAAGTGTATTGTTTTTTACTTACAGTATGTCTGTATATTTCATGGTATTATAAGTACTTTTCATGCTTATTTTTATTTTATCTTGAATTTCCAAAGATTATGATAAACAACACTGAACAATAGCAGTTGGTCGCATACTTTTAGCTTTAATTTAGCTACTAGCCCATTAACTTTAAAAACACACCCTGACTGTACAAATAAGCTGTTGGGGCAGACATTTGCATCTTGTGACATGCATTTGTTAACTTTCTTAAATTATTATTTCAAGTGCTATGCAACATTTGTTAATCGCTTATCTACATCCAAATAGGCATTTATGACTTTTAGATAGTGTTGATCCTCAACCACCTGGACTACTTTATCAATGTCCAAGACACTCAGGACTTTCTACACCTTCTCCTTTAACTGGAGTGCACCA